TTTTATTTCTGACCTTTTCACTTGGATCCTTTTGAGAGTCACTGTTGCACTGGGGTAAAAACAAATACTGGGCCCAACTGTTTTCTATTTCCCAGCCCCGTTTTTAGAAATAACGAGGTCTTATTCCTATGTGAATTATGGAGGCCTGCACTGTGTGTGAAGGTGGGAGTGGGTATAGGTCAGTGGACACCATTCATGCCCCAAAATAAGTTTATCTTCTGAAACTAAAATTGCATAAGTATGTAAAGGCAGGAAAGCAATAAATATTAAACCAAAGCATTTGCTTCCAAGCCAGTAGGCAAAGGAGAATTATTGCAGTTTTCAAGTAGGAATGGAAGCAACAGTGGAGGCAAACTGAAACAGTCAGATTTGGACTGAGCTGTCTTGGCGTTGACACACTCACACAGGAGCATTGGCCAGCAGAGTCTGCATTGTAGGCAACATATCTTCCAGAGAAAAAGGAACCAGCAAAAAGGATGTCAAGTAAGTTTCCTTTGTTCTGAGAACAGCTGAGAAGGGAATGCACTAGAAGGATGTTGAAGGCACACAGGATCAGTGTGAAGCCGGAGGGACAACCAGGGGCCAGGTGTGCTCAGAGGTTGCAGCAGTCTCTCAGCTGTGGTCTATTGTCGCTCATGACCTGGTGGGCACGAGACTGCACACCTTCAACCCGCTTCTTCTTCCCTGGCTTTTTCAACACAGGAGGACCTATATATGCCTGTCTCCCCAGCAGGGGCTCCTGCCTCACCTGCACACAGCGAGCAGAGTTCATGCAATGAGATTAAGAAATGCAGGTAACCAAAACGGTTTTGCTCAGTGGATAGAGCATCAGCCTGCGGACTGAAAGGTCCTGGGTTCAATTCCGGTCAAGGGCATGTACCTTGGTTGCAGACACATCCCCAGTTGTGGGTGTGCAAGAGGCAGCTGATCGATGATTCTCTTTCATCGATGTTTCTAACTCTCTATCCCTCTCTCTTCCTCTCAGTGAAAAAATCAATAAAATATATTTAAAAAAAAAAGAAATGCAAGTAGATGGACAATGAAAGTATAAGAAATAACCATTCTGGGCAGGTTCTGAGAAACATCCTGATTTTAAAGACTGATGGTCCCAGATGGAAAAAAGGAAAGAACATCCCAAGAAAACACTGCCTTACAGCAGGAATTCTAGGATTATCCCAGTTTTTTTTTTATTATTGTTATTATTTAACCTGAGGATATGTTCTTATTGATTTTTAGAGAGAGAAAGGAGAAGGGAGGAAGAGAAGGAGAGGGGGGGCGGAGAGACAGAGATATTGATTTGGGTTGCCTCCTATGACCCCTGACCCCTGACCTGGGATTGAACCCAAAACACAGACAGGTTTCCTGACCAGGAACTGAACCCACAACCTCTTGAGTTCAGTACTACACTCAACCAATTGAGCCAGTTGGCCAAGGCTTCTCATAAGTTGCCACTTATGTGAAGAAATTTCACAAAGGACACATTCTTGCAAAAACAGCTTAGACCCGTGTGAGTCACACTGGGGAGTCACACTGAAGAGCCACCAGAGACAGGAGCTAACGGTGGAGGGAGGGTCGGAGGTTGACATTCGTAAAGGGCAGAGACAAAACCCGAGTCCTCAGTGTTGCCCTTGCTCCGGGCTGCCAGACTTTGAAAAATGATCTCCAAATTCAAAAGGGCAAAGCAGAGATGGTTCGAGTGGGACTACAGATCAAGATAAACGAGGAGGGAGCCAAAGAGCACCTACCTACTTTGTAAAAGAATTCAATCTCCAGTGTTGATTGCATGCAGGCCATGGATAATACTCGGAAATGTGATCAAGGAAGCAGTGTTGGCGACTGCTTAGCAAGTGGCTTCGAGAAAGGTCAGAAGCAGTACATAGGGGCCGAAACCGGTTTGGCTCAGTGGTAGAGCGTCAGCCTGCGGACTGAAAGGTCCCAGGTTTGATTCTGGTCAAGGGCATGTACATGGGTTGCAGGCACATCCCCAGTGCGTGTGCATGAGGCAGCTGGTCAATGTTTCTATCTGTCCCTCTCTCTTTCTCTCTGTGAAAAATCAATAAAATATATTAAACACAAAAAAACAGAAGTAGGGTGGTGGGCAAATGCTTCTGGATTCATAAAAAGGGTGAGATGACAGATGGTAGAACCAGTTCGTGGTGCAGACCTGTCCTGCAGACTATTGAGCAGGTGACTCGTGAGCTGCCACAGAGCGGGGGTCCCTGAGACAGGGCACCGTGAGCGGGCCGGCTCCGTGCTGCCGCACACAGCTGTGCGGCCCTAAGCAGACACCTCTGCGCGCTGCGGCGTCTCCCCTGGGGAATAAGGATGCGGAACGAGATGCCCGTCCTGGGCAGGTGAGCCACAAACAACCTGCCAACTCCCCCGGACCGCTGAGCTCAGCGCTTTCCATTGGCTGCCTGATGATGGCAAAAGCTGCCTTTTGTGAAAACATGTCCGGCACCGGGTGCTTATCTCATTGAGGGAAGTGTTTGCCTTGTGCTCACGGGACAGGTGGATACTACCCCTCCCTTTTCACAGAGGGTGACACTGAGCTCCAGGGCACCTCCCGCAGAGATCGGATGAATCAGGTGATACCAGGAAGTCAGGGACCAATGTCCCGTGCGATTATGATGGACAAGATGCATAGGACTACAAGGAGATACCGCTATGACAGTAATTTTTTTTCTTTTTAAGATTTGAAGAAAATTTATTTTCTTTATTGATTAAGGAATTACATATGTGTTCTTATGACAGTCATTCTCATTTGTTTGGATAGTTATGCCTAAACTGTGTCCATTTCATGGAAAGTTCCTTCTGATGCTCATTTAGCCTTGGGCTATCTGACTTAAGAAAATAAGAACACAATGTGGTTGAAAGAATAGAAGAAATTCTGATCAAAACTTCAAAGAAAGGATAGACGCTGTCTGGATTCATAAAAAGGGTAAGATGACAGATAGTAGAATGTACCCACATGCTCATTGGTACAAGGACCACTTACAAAACAGGATTTGAAGTAAGCTATGGAGTTCACAGTGGGATCGGTGCTCAGACCACAAAATAAATGAGCATCGGAAGGAAATTCCCGCACTTTGCATCTAAAGGATCGCGCTGGGCAAGAGCAGCCTTAACTCTGTAGGGTTAGAGTCTGGGGAGCTGGAACCGAGGTTGGGGCTGTGACTGGCCTTGGGTTGCTTTTCAGGGCTTCCAAGAAGGGTGGGAAGGGCAGTGCCTGGAGCAACAAATTCCCCTGAGCCACAGGAACCTCGGAGTCACAGAAACTGTCCACTAAGTGGACCCTGTAGGCTTCAAGTTTGACTTCAAGTTCAATGTAAAGCAACCACTTGGAAACTGCAGCACAAACGGTGGGAAGATTTCAGGTGCAGTCACTGAAGACAGGGCAGTCGTATGGTTTCTGCATTAGCCAGCCTCCCATCTCCCTCCCCCTTGTGCACGGGATGGACCCCTGGACCATTTGAGGAACAACTGGGGCAGCTGGGAAGACTCCGCAGGGATATGAGAGCTCCCTCCAGACAGCGCAGGACCCGGCGGCTAGTGTGTCAAACGCCCGGGAGCTGCAGTGGAAGGGACGGGATCCAGGAGCAGCGTTTCCTGAGGAGCCTCTCCCAGGGGGAAGGAGCCCAGCCTGGCTGAGAGCCTCCTGCCTCCTTGCTGCTGGCTGAGAGCCAGCGTGTGTGTGTGTGTGTGTGTGTATGTGTGTGTGTGTGTGTGTATGCGTGTGTGTGCTGTGCTGTGCGGACCGGGCCAGGTGCTCCGCGGATGGAAATGGGCAGCACCTTCCAGTCGGTATGGGGACAGTCAGCAAACAATAAAACAAACCATCTGTGCGTGAGGCCAGGCAGGCAACAGAGTGAGGGAGGGGTTTGGCTCAGTGGATAGAGCATCGGTCTACGGACTGAAGAATCCCAGGTTCGATTCCATTCAAGGGCATGTACCTTGGTTGTGGGCACATTCCTGGTAAGAGGTGTGCAGGAGGCAGCTGATGGATGTTTCTTTCTCATCCTTGTTTCTAGCTCTTTCTCTCTCTTCCTTCATCTCCATAAAAATCAATAAAATATATTAAAAAGAGAGAGAATACAAGCGCGTGCACGCGTGCCCAGGACTGAGAGGAAGGAGGGGGCAGGTGGGACGGCCCCACTGAGAAGGTGACATCTGAGCAGAGACTGCAGTGCAGGACGTGAGGGTGGGACTGGGGAGGCCGGTCCACGAAGGAAGGGGTGGATGGTGAGGCCCCTTCTCCCTTGCCCCGCATTTGAGAAAAGGGGTGGGGGGCTTCAGCTTGGGGACAGGGCAGCCCACAGGACTTCTCCAGCATCTGCCAGGGATCTCTGTCCCTGGGCAGATGCCCACCGTGATGGTGCAGCGAGTGCCGATGGCAGCAACAGGCGAGGCGTACCCACCACGCAGAGGCAGGCCGATGGCTGAGACCTCACACACACACTCAGCGTGGCCGTGGACTAACAGATTTAACAGTGTCGTGGCAGCGTGTCTGCACACCCAGGCTGCCCAGGGGCCACGAGCTTAAGACCTTGGCTCTGGGAAAGAGGAAGGGGAAGCGGTGGAGGGAGAACTGGGTGACCAGGGAGCCTGGGGCAGGAGGTCAGAGGAGAAGAGAAACGGTGTGGGCGTCGTTGGGGAGAAGGGCCCGTGTGGTGACTGACAGGCACCGGAGAGAGGGACCGAAGGCGCCTCAGTGGTGTGGGGAGCAGGAGGCTGCTCCCACCCTCATCCCCGCACCCCCCACTCTCCCACCCCCGCCTGCTCTCCTGCCGGGAGGGCCATGCGCCTTCTGCTGCCCTCTCCACGGCCCTGTCACTGCTCCGTCCTAATCACACAGCTCAGAGCCCCGGAGGCGGGCCTGCCCCTGTACCCATCGGCACGGCGCTCTGCGGTGTGACTGCAGACACGGTCTTTGAGACGAGGCTCAGCCTGAACACACACCCAGCTTCTCCCTCTGACATGTCCCTGTCTCCCGGCCACAGGAGCCTTCGTCTGCAAGATGGTGCCCTTCGCCCAGTGCACGGCCGTGGTGACCGAGATCCTCACCCTGACCTGCATCGCCCTGGAGCGCCACCACGGCCTGGTGCACCCGCTCCGCGTGAGGTGCCGCTACACCCACCGCCGGGCCTTCGCCACGCTGGGTGAGGGCGGGCGCTGGGTGAGGGCGGGCGCTGGGTGAGGGCAGGCGCTGGGTGAGGGCGAGCACCCGGGTGCAAAGGGAGGAGGGTGGTCACCTTCAATCCTCTCTGCCTTCCCCCTCTTCCCCCTCTCCAGTCCCTCTCCCTCCCCTCCTGTCCACCCCAGCACCAGGCCTCTCATTCCACATGTGCCCTTGGGTTTAGGGCTCAACTTCCTGCCGACGGGCGTGACCTAGGCCAGCCCGTGGCAGGCAGGGCTGCAGGACAGTCCTTAGGGCTTCCCGACCCAAGAGGCGGCTGCGATGCCATTGGTGCAGGTGGGTTTTCACGGGGGGGGGGGAGGGTGGGGCAGGAAGAGTGTGTTTAGAAAAGCAGAGAACAGGGTGCAGCCCAGAAGGCTGGGCCCCCGGGAGCACCGGGTGCTGGGTACTGGGTGCTGGGTGCTGGGTGCTGGGTGCTGGGTGTAGCTGACACCTGACAGGCACAGCCACCTCTTGCGTCTGCGAGGCTGCTGGGTGGCCCTGGTGAGCAATGTCCCAGCCGGCCCTCCCCGGAAGACCCTGCCCGATAATTACCCTCCAGCCACTTTCAGCCCTCACGCCCCTCAGCGTGGCGTGCATTAGGGCGGGAAGGCTCCGCTGGCCCAGAGCCACTAAAGTGGCTGTCCAGGGAGCCGTCGGCACCACCCGGGGGAGGGGGCCGCTCATTTCAAGGAGACAAACCAGGCCGACAAAATCGCTAGCTTTAGTTCGTCCCAAATGTATGTCGCGTCCTTCCTGCCAGGAGTTCAGAGACCTCTTTGCTTTTAACAGTTGACAACCGTCCGCCAGCAGGACATCCAGAGACAGCGGGGGCGTGGAAGGCGGGGAAGCGCAGCCTTGGTGGGAGGAGTTGCTAAAAGGGAAGAGGCGCAGAGCGGGACTTGCCCTCTGAAAGCAAAGTCGGTAACAGGCAGTCCTGGCCGGCCCTGCTCAGAGCCCAGGCCCTCTCCCACCTCCGGCCGCCACCTGTGCCCCTGCCCAGTGGCAGATGGAGACTCCCCTGCTCAGAGCCCATAGACCCCCTCCCTCCTGTTCACCCACCTTCTTTTGTGTCTGCCCCTGAGCCCGCTGGCACTGGGGATTGTCACTGAGCTAAGCCAATTACACTCAACTCCGCCCAAACGCTTCTGATGGCTGGAGAAATGACTGGACAGGAGGTAACATTTACAGTGAGGAGGGAGGTAAAATAGATGTGCAGAGATAGATAGACAGACAGACAGACAGAGACAGAGAGGTGGTCTGCAGACGGCGGCTCACAGCTCTTTGGCCCCTTGGCTCTTTCACAACATATCACGTGCGGGTGTGCACGGACAGTGCGATGGAAACTTCATGGCCCATGAGCAGAAGTCGGTTTTCAGCCTGGGCGAGTCTGTTTTGAAGAAGTGGCGTTAGAACACTCAAGGGGCCAAAGAGCCGCATGAGGCTCGCGAGTCGCTGTTTGCGGACCACTGGGTTAGAAAACTGAGCAGGACGGGCTGTGCTCGGCTGAGTGGTGTTCTGATGGCTGTGACCCTTACAGGTGTGGTCTGGCTGGTGGCGGTCATCGTCGGCGCCCCCATGTGGCACGTGCAGCGACTCGAGGTGGGTTCAGGCTGGGCTGGTCTTTATACTGAGAATGTCCCGCCCTCTTGGTTATAGTAATTTTCCTTCCTGCAAGAGGTTTTAGGGAATCTGCATGATTTTATGATTTCACTAGAGGTTTTCCAACTGGACTCAAATAACATGTTTTAAGATTTCCCTGCCCTCCTGTGGGTAAGACTTGCCAGGCTCAGAGTCTGTGTTTTCCTGCAGCTGGACACGGCTCTGCGATGGCCAGTCAGGCCGTGAGCGTCCGGGGGTCACTCCACATACTTCACCATACGTCTTCGGGTTACGTCAGACGTAGAGTTACATTGTTTCGTGGTTACATTGCCATCTCCTATTTATGTATTAAAAAAAATTCCATCATTTTGATGTATGTACATATGTGCTTTGTGTCTTTTATTATTTACTATATTTACCACAAGTGAAGGTCAGGAATTGTTTTCTTTCTTTTAAACTTTTTTACTGTGTCACTTCATACTGCTGTGTCTGTGCTGCAAGTGAGGGACGGAGGTGGAGGCGCGTACGGAGGTGGGTTCCGACTTATGGCAAAAATCGCGTTATGTCGCTTTAGGAACGGATCTCCGAAGGAACCCGGGGACCTACTGTGTTTTGAAGTCACATAAAATAATTGTGACTGATGATCTCCTTACTAGTTGATTCTCTGTCCTAAGTCCTTTCTTACCTGTCTCCTATTCAGTGACAGACTGCAGTTTGAATTGGAAATTTATTATAGGACCGGCTTATCCAGCCTCTCTCTGCCCCCACTTGGTCCACGGGGCCCTCCTTGCCTGGGAAGTCACAGTGAGGGCAGGGCAGGGCCCTGCTGGTTTAGCCCCGCCCACCGGGCATGTCCAGCATGGACAGTGGCCTCCAGACCCAGGAGGGTCGCACAGGCGTCCCTGAGACCATGTTCAAATGTTGCATCCTTTTGTGCTTTGACATCAGCACAGCATGCAGTGTCCACCGGCCAGGGTGCCACACATGCCTCAGACGAGGGTCCACTTAAAACCTGGTGTTATGTATTTGTTTTTATTTTTTACATTTTATGTGTAAAATATATAGTTGGTATACCATCTTACACTGGTTATATTAGCTTCAGGTGTACCCTATAATGACCTGACAGTTTTAGACTCGATAATGTGATCACCCCACTGGCTAGTGATCATCCTCATTCGTGCCCTTACCACAATATTGTTGGCAATGTTCCCCTTCCCCTTCTCACCCCCCCTCCCGGCCCTCCCTTCTGGTAACCACGCTGTGGTCTCTGTTTTTGAGTCTGGTTATGTTTTGTTTTGCTTTTAGATTCCACATATATGTGAAATCACATGGCATTTGTCCTTGCCTAGTATCATTTCCCTTAGCACAGTGGTCGGCAAACTCATTAGTCAACAGAGCGGCAAACGGCAGCTCGCGAGACCACTGCCTTAGCATAATATCCTCTATATCCATCCATGTTGTCACAAATGGAAAGATTTCATTCTTTTTTATGGCTGAGTAGTATTCCATCGAACACATATACCTCATCTTCTTTTTAAAAAAAATATGTTTTTATTGATTTCAGAGAGGAAGGGAGAGAGGGACAGATAGAAACCTCAATGATGAGAGAGAATCATTGACCGGCTGCCTCCTGCACGCCCCACACTGGGATTGGGCCTGCAACCTGGGCCTGTGCCCTGACTGGGAATGGAACCATGACCTCCTGCCTCATAGGTCGACACTTAACCACTGAGCCACTCTGGCAGGCTACCTCATCTTCTTTATCCACTCATCTATCGATGGACACCTTTGTTGCTTCCACACCTTGGCCACTGTAGATAATGCTGCAAGGAACGTAGGGCTGCATGTAAGAAAGTGTCCTCGTTTTGTCTGTTTGTTTTGAGTAAATAGCAGAAGTGCAACTGCTCGGTCCTATGGTGATTCTGTTTCCAGTTCCTGGAGGGATCGCCATCCTGCTTCCCACGGTGGCTGCACCAGTCGGCTCTCCCGCCAGCAGTGCACGAGGGCTCGCTCCCTTTGCCCCACACTCCCCAGCACGCGTGTCTGTGGCCTCTCTGACCGTAGCCCCTCTGCCCGGAGTGCAGTGTCATCTCGTGGTGGGGTTGGCTTGCCTTGCCCTGCTGATTGGTGCTGTTGGGCCTTTTTTCCTGGGTCTGCTGGCCGCCTGCATGTCCTCTTTGGAGAAATACCTTTTCACGTCCTCTGCCCACGTTTTTGATTGGGTTGTTATGTTTTTGTGACTGAGTTGTACGAGTTTATTCTCTATTTTGTATACCAACCCCTTATTGGACATAGCATTTGTGAACAAGTTCTCCCAGTCTGTCGGCGGTCTTTTCATCCTGTAGGCAGCTTCCTTTGCTGAGCAGAAGCTTTTTAGTCCAATGCAGCTCCCTGTGATTATTTTCATGCTGGTTCTCTTGCTTGAGGGGATGTGTTTAAAAAGACACCGCTCAGAAACATCAGAGTGGTGCTTGCTGTGTTTTCTTCTCGGAATTTTATGCTCTCAGGCCTCAGGCTATACATGTAAGTTGCAGCCGACTGGAGTTCATTTGTAGAGGATATAAGAGAAAAGTCCAGGTTCGCTTCTCTGCAGGTCTCTGTCCGGGAATGTGCAGCGGCTTGATTCTTGGTGTAAGTTGATACCGAGTGAGCCAGACTCCACCGTGAGGGCAGGAGGCAGGCTCCTTCCCTTCCCTGCTCCCTGGTGGGACGCCCCTACGGAGCCTGGCTGAGCCTGACGCTCCTTCGATCCTTCAGACAGGACAGTGCTCCTTGTCGCTAAAATGCCCAGCCCAGCGTCACGACCCTGTCAGCCTGAACCCGCAGTGAGTGCACCGTCCCCTTCCCTGTGCGAGCTGCTGTGGGCCTAGCACCTGGCCCTCAGGAGGCGTTGTGATCCTTTCTTCTTCTCTGCCTCCCTGCCTGTCCCTCTCTCCTGGGGCCGCCAAGCAGAGAGGGGCCAGGAGGGCAGTGTCCCCTGAGTGTGATGCTGCCTGTGACTGAGTCGTGACTCCATGGATGTCTCAAAGAGGAAACCGCTGCGGTTCCAGCTGCAGCTCCCGGGCCACAGCTGCTCTGGAAGTGTGGGTTCCACGCTCCGTGACCCGCTCCCTCTCCAAGGCCTTTTCTGCAGCAGGAAACGGTGCACAGAGGGGCCATTCCCACCACAGGGTCCACTTCCTGCCCACAGAACTCTAGGAGATTTGTCTGTTTTTAAAATACAATTATTTTAGCCCTCGCCAGTTTGGCTGAGGGCATCTCAGAGTGTCTCCCTGCAGATTAAAGGGTCCCGGGTTCGATTCTGGTCAAGGGCATGCGCTTGGTTGCAGGCTCCTGGCCGGGGTGCATGCAGGAGACTCACAAACAATCCATGTGTTTATCCATGTTTCTACCTGTCTTCCCTTCTCCCTTCCACTCTCCCTAAAAATCAATGGGAAAATGTTCTTGCGTGAGGATTAACAAAAATAAATACAATTATTTTAGCACATGCTCCTCCTAATGTATTTTAAATCTGTGGGACTAATTTAGTTTGTAGAAAGTACACACAATCTAAGTGACAAAGCCAGTCCTTGCTGTCGGGTAGAGCAGCCAAATCCAATTTGCCTTCTGTCTGGAAAAAGTATGAGTTCATTCTTCAAAGCAAATAACCGTATTTGTATGCATCCACGGCTCCTGCTCACCCCTACATTCCATCGGAGCCAGTGTGTGCGAGCCTGACCGAAGCTGGCCCTGTACCTGGAGGGGTAAAATACCACCAACCCCTTTGCTTTCTTTCTGCAGACTCCCTCCCAGGGCTGGCATATAGGACAATGAGAGGCCCGGTGCACGGAATTTGTGCACTCAGGGGACAGGGTGTCCCTCAGCCCAGGCTGCACCCTCTCCCAGTCCAGGAGCCCTCAGGGGATGTCAACTGCTGTGGAGGTGGGAGAGGCTCCTGTCACTGCCACTGTGCTCACCAGCTGTGAGCCTGGCTTCTGGCTGAGCAGTGCTCCCCCTGTGGGAGTACACTGACCACCAAGGGGCAGCTCCTGCATTGGGCATCTGCCCCCTGGTAGTCAGTGTGCGTCATAGCAGCCGGTCTTTCCACCAGCGCACACCTGTACTGTTATTATAGAACGTGCCAGCAAGCAGTCCCCGTGGCTGGCCCGGCTGGTGCTGTCTGCATGGAGTCAGCAGATTTAATTTTGATGTCCTGTTCCCGGGGAGTCTGGATCTTGATCTTCCTCTTCACAGAGTGTTTCCATTCCCAGTTAGTTGTGTCTGTAAATAAAGCCTAGATCAGAGCATGTGGTTCATAGTTGGTGAGGATACAAAAAAGCCTCTCCCTCCCCTCTTCACTTGGCATTGAGGAGTGGGGATGGAGGCAGAAGAACGTCTGAGATCTAAGTATCTTCCATCTGGAAAGTGCCAGAGTGGGTACAATGACAGTCGCTTTGACAAATTCCCTGACGTTTATTCCTATTATTCAGAGAAATGACTTTTGTATATATGCTAAATGTTTACTTTGTCTCTTATTACCATTGTTCTTTTTCTTAATATTGTTATTATTATTTGAACTGATGAGATGAGTTGGTCAGAAATGGTATTAAAACACAGACATTGGCTTTCTATAGAATACATCCCTCAAAGGCTTAGACCAGAGTCTGAATGTTTTTAGATAAGCAATAGCTTGACCCCACTTTTTCATTCACCTCAGGATCTCTTGTTTTATTAAATTTATTGGGGTGACATTGGAACTAGTTGGCACATGGCAAGAAATGTTATTTTCATTATACTTTGGCCATTAGGGTTCTTGTACTATAGGAACCTCTTTCACGTCCCATGTGGAAAGGGTTCCAATTCAGGGTTCAGGTTCTGGAGAAGGGCCACACACAAATGAAAAGACTTGAAGAAATTCAACTTGGCGATATGGGGGGCCAACCGGTAGTCCAACTCTAGTGGGAGAACTACTCCTGCTCTGGCCCTGCCACCCCTTTTATGGAGGCTTTGGGGAAACATCTTAGGCAACATGAACAGACATTTACAGGTAGCCCTTAGGCAGGAAATAACAGAATTTACACGGGACACACAAGATGAAGGCTGCTTCAGCTAAAAATGTCCCAACTAAAGGATGAGTGGTTAGAGCAATTAAGGTTGTTGGCTTCCTGTCAGCATCTCTCTTTTAGTGAAACTGATTTGTTTCTAGCCTTGTACCCCATGGAAAACCTATGTCCAGAGTGTGAAAAGTGGAGAGAGATAGAAAGCGAACGGGCTTCGGGCCTCAATTTATTTAAAATAGCAAAGAAAGTACTAAAATTCCGAAGAATTGAAGCAGTGATGAGGGGAAAAACCACAGTTCAGAACAAAAGAAAATCACAATTGTATGTCGTTAGAAGCCTGTCCCCATGGTAACCACAGCAGGGTCTGCGTCCCCAGGCCCAGGCCCGCGGTGGCTGGCTCTCCTCACCTGGCCCTTCTCGCCCCAAAGGTTAAGTACGACTTCCTCTACGAGAAGGAGCACGTCTGCTGCCTGGAGGAGTGGAGCAGCCCGGTGCACCAGCAGGTCTACACCACCCTCATCCTCGTCATCCTCTTCCTCCTGCCGCTGCTGCTCATGCTCAGCCTGTACAGCAAGATCGGCTACGAGCTCTGGATCCACAAGAGAGTGGGCGACAGCTCGGTGCTTCGGACCATCCATGGAAACGAGATGTCAAAAATCACCAGGTCGCTTTAATGAAGGATTCTCCTCAGTTTCAAATATACATATTTAAATATATATATTTCAGAGAGAAAGGTGGGGCGAGAGGGAGAGGGGAAGAGAGGGAAGGAAAGGAGAGGAGAGAGAAAAAAAAGAGAGAGAGAGAGAGAGATGAGAGAAAAAAAATCAATGACGTAAGAGAACCATTGGCTGGTTGCCTCCTGCCTCTATGGCCCCCACTGGGGATGGAGTCCACAACCCGGGCATGTGCCCTGACCAGGAATCGAATCGTGACCTCCTGGTTCATACGTGGACATTCAACCACTGAGCCATGTCAGCAGGGCTCAGATATATATTTTTAAAATTTATTTTATTGATTTTTTACAGAGAGGAAGGGAGAGAGATAGAGAGCCAGAAACGTCGATAAGAGAGAAACATCGACCAGCCGCCTCCTGCACACCCCACACCAGGGATGTGCCCACAACCAATGTACATGCTCTTGCCCAGAATCAAACCTGGGATCTTTCAGTTCGCAGACATATTTTTAACTAGTTGTGCCACATGGGATGGTTACCAGGGACCTCGGAGTTATTGGGTGCTGTTTGTTAGCGTCCCTTCTTCTTCAGGGGTGGGCATGAGCTCTCTGTACACTTTTGAGATTCCACGTGTGGCAGGAAGAAAGAGAAAGCTCACCAGCCCCACTTCCATCCTCACAGAAGGAAGCTTCCTCGGGGTTTAGACAGTGTCTGTTCCATCCATTTGTCAGCAGGACGAAGTGGGAGAGCTGTGGAATCTCCCCTCTCTGCCACTCACAGCCCTGAGAAGCTGGAAGTCTCCTTCCTCCTGCCCTGCCTCACCCTCGGTCCCAGGGACCACTGAGTCCATCCCTCTGGCCTCCCACCCGGGCACGATGCTAAAACATGGGAGATGATGCTTCGGAAAATCCTTGGGAAACTAGAACATGCTCTTTTTTTAAAAGAGGAAGGGAGAGGGATAGAGAGTTAGAAAACATCAATGAGAGAGAAACATTGACCAGCTGCCTCCTGCACACTCCCTACTGGGGATGTGCCCACAACCAAGGTACATGCCCTTGACCAGAATCGAACCCAGGACCCTTGAGCCCATAGGCCAACGCTCTATCCACTGAGCCAAACCAGTTAGGGCTTCTTTAATCATTGATATATTTTATTTTTACCAAAGGGCATGGATTTTTTATTGCATTCATTAGCAGAAAATTTAAAATGCAACTTATGGTTCGTTTAACAATCAACACTGAACTGCCATTAAAAACAAAAGTAAACAAAACCTGGTAGGAAGTCCAGTGGTTTGAAGAGACTTGAGCATTTCTTCACACGTGCAGCGCCCCCTGGTGCCCAGTTTGTAGGAAGACATCCTCCCTCAGGGCAGGGGATACTCAGCCTCTTGGAACTTCCTGTGGACTCAGCTCTCCTCCCTCCTGGGGAAAAGGGCTCCCACGGTGAAATGAGAAATCAGGACGACGAACTTTTATAAACTTAAAGCGCCATGCCAATGTGTCGATGGCTTGCACGTGCTTATCTCCTTTACAGGAGAAATGGTGAAACCTTTTGGAAATCCTAGCTAATCGTGTTATTTAGAGATATAATAATAAAGGTTTACATTTTAATTATATCTTCAGGGCTGCCCATATTTTGTAAATACTGTTATTTCCCTATCATAGGGGCGAGTGGTCTTCAATGTGACAGAGTAAGGGCGTAGGCACGCGGTTGGACACCCTCAATTTAAACCAAAGGAGTCCGTATTCATTTAAGTCCCTTCCTGGCCACCTGACCCTGCGGGCTACTGGACCTTCTCGGGGCCTCAGTGTCTGCATCTATCAAAGGCTTGCCGGGAAGACTGATGACATCAGCCCCCTCCTGAGCACACGTCCCCGGGTGTTTACAACGTGAGGAATGTGGGTGAGGGTGATAGCGACGGGAAAGGTGAACAGCCCACACTGAACGGAGCTTTAACTTCATTAATGTTGTTGGGGTCCGGATTGAGGCTTGATTTCATGGCGTTGCTATCGACCTGACACACTTGTAAGGGATAGATGTTAACGGGCTCTGTGTCCCCGTGGGCTCAGGAAGAAGAAGCGGGCCGTGGCCATGATGGCGACCGTGGTGGCCCTCTTCGCCGTGTGCTGGGCTCCTTTCCACGTCGTGCACATGCTGATGGAGTACGGTGAGTGCTGGTCCTCCCCTGACGGAGCCCTGCTTCTCTCCTGCCAGAATGCAAAACGCATCTGTGAAATGTGTTGCTATGCCCAGGGGCAATTAAGTACCAAATGCTGAACAGGTTTCTTTAGTGTTTGCAAGATAACTAGACCATGGCAGAGAGTTCTGTCTAATCATGACCACCTACACTAATAAAAGAGAAACATGCAAATTGACTGTCCCTATGCTATGCCTACCAGCCAATCAGGAGTGAGTATGCAAGTTAACCCAACAAAGATGGCCACACCATGGAGCTCGAGGGAGCAGGAGGCTAGTGATGGAGGAAGCCAAGCTTCCCACCTGCCCTGGCCTCTGCTCAAGGAGGAGCTGGGGGCCTGGATCTCTGGGGGGCGTGGCCAGCCAGAAAACAGCCCTCAGTCCCTTACCCAGGCTGGCCACACTCCCATGGGATGAGGGTCCCCACTGGAGGGCTTGGCCAGCTTGCAAACAGCCATTAGCCCCTCACCCAGGCTGACCAGGCACCCCAGTGGGGACCCCCACCCTAATCTGGGACACCCTTCAGGGCAAACCAGCTGGCCTCCATCCCTGCATCAGGCCTCTATACTAATAAAAGGGTGATATGCTAATGAGACTGGGAGACCTACCAGGAGACCTTCCGGATGTTTTTCTGGACAAAGCCATGGTGGTGGGGCTGAGGTAGAGGTGGTTAGAGGCCAAGAAGGGAGGGCAGTTCAGGGTAATCAGGCCAGAATAGGATGGCAGTTGTGGGTGATCAGGTCAATGAGGGGGAAATGGGGAGTTATCAGGCCAGTAGGGGGGCCAGTTGGGGGCAAACAGGCCATCGGTGGGGGTCAGTTGGGGGTGATCAGGATAGCAGGGGTCAGTTTGGGGTGAGAAGGTCAGCAGAGGGCCGTTGGGGGGCAAGCAGGCCAGTGGGGAGGGCAAGTGTGGGTGAGCAGGCTGGCAGGGGGACGTTGGGGGGCAGCATGCTGGCAAGGGGGGCAGTTTGGGGTGATCAGGCTGGTGGGAGGGCATTTTGGGGCAAGCAGGATGGCAGGCACAGTGGTTAGGACCCAGCAGTCCCGGATTGAGAGAGTGATGTCTGACTGCCGGTTTAGGCCCGATCCCTGTAAACTGGCAGTAGGACATCCTTGGAGGGGTTCCAGATTGGAGAGGGTGCAGGCCAGGCTGAGGGACACCCCCTCTGTGCACGAATTTTGTCTACACTAATAAAAGAGTAAGATGCAAATTACTGTACCTTTACAACGCCCACCAGCCAATCAGGAGTGAGTATGCAAACTAACCCAACAAAGATGGCAGGTCAATTTGCATATGAAGGTGCCCAGAAGCTGGGGACAGGGTGGGATGCTTGCATTCCACACTGCCCCAGCCGCTCCGGGCCTCTGGGCAGTGTGGGAAGGCGGAAAGATGGCTCCGGCTGGAGCAAAGGTGGTGCTGGCAGCCAGGGGAAGGAAGGCCCATTCTTGCCCGAATCATTGTGCACCGGGCCTCTGGCGTCCTTACTAATCACAGACGATCCAGGGAAGCCCTGACACCCTCCCTCCATGCTGTGCCTTCTGCTCCCCCACGTCACACAGTGTTGGGAGAGGAGCCGGCCTCTGTCCCCCAGTGAGAGCTTCTGCCAGGAGCCCCGTGAGCTCGGTACCCCGTGCAGTCCCGCCCCACGGGCAGTGTCCCCACTGGCCTCCGATGTGGCGTGGCCCTTGGATGACCGTGTTTCTGGGACACAGGGAACAGTTGAGGAGCAACCACGGCTCCCGGGCTGACTGCAGCTTGCACTGGGCTGAGATGCATGAGCCCCCATGCCTGCCCGGCCCGGCCCTGTCTCAGCCCCACTGCTCTGAGTATGAAGGCCCCTCACGGTTGTGCTCTGCAGACACCCCACTCCCCTGAATATGGCCCGGAGCAGTTTCCAAGCCTTTGGCCTCCCGTCCGAGTGTGCTGAGAGACAGATGAGATGCAGAGGTCTATGTTCTGTTGGTAGGACAGGGCGTGTCCTCAGGCATGCCTCTCTCCCAGGCAGCTTTGAAGAGCAGTACGACGAGGTCACCGTCAAGACGGTCCTGGCCGTCGTGCAGATCCTGGGCTTCTCCAACACCATCTGCAACCCCATCGTCTACGCCTTCATGAACGAGAGCTTCCGGAAGAACTTTCTCTCCGCCGTGTGCTGCTGCGTCCGGAAGGAGGCCCCGTCCCCCGGGCGGCGGCATGGGCCCTCGGGCACGGCCCTGAGGCAGAGGCGGACCGCGCCTGGCCGCGGGGAGGACGCCGTGGAGGAGACCAAGGGTGAGGCGTTCAGCCACGGCCACATCGAGGTCAAGCTGTGCGACCTGCCCGAGGAGCCGCCGCAGCCCCGCTGACCGCTGACCGCCCCTCACACCCAGAGCCCGGCGCCCGGGCGGCTGCATCGGGCCGCCGTGCCCATGGTAACAGTGCCCTCCCAGCTGATGTCACATCTCCAGAGGAAGGGACATTACTTTGAGCAAAGGTCAGGCACCTCACTCACTGACAGAACGACAAAAAAGAGTACTTCCAGTCATTTTCCCATAAAAATCTGACATCAACCATGAACACGCAGTTTTCAGAAATCAGTGACCTGTTTTGTGGGTCATACGTGTTGATGTTAGAAGTCTGGTCCAGCCAAAACCGGTTTGGCTCAGTGGATAGAGCATCGATCTGCGGATCATGCCCTTGACTGGAATCGGTCCCAGGTTCGATTCCAGTCAAGGGCATGTACATCAGTTGTAGGCACATCCCCAGTAGGGGATCATGAATGTTTCTCTCTCATCGATGTTTCTAGCTCTCTATCCTTTTCCCTTCCTCTCTGTAAAGAATCAATAAAATAACTTAAAAAAAAAAAAAAGACTTCTAAAAAGTCTCATTCGCATGTGGCTAGTAGTTTTCCCTGCAGTCAGTGTCACGTGGCTTTGCTGTGTTGTTGACATTGGATGAGGAAATAAAAAGGGCATCTTCTTTCTTGCGTAGGATTCGAGCACTGTCATTGGACTTAAGGCTTGGGGATCCTGCTTGGTCAAGGTCTTCCCAGTACTGATAATGTCCAGGAAGATGGAGCAGCTGATGGCAGGTGAGTGAGTTAGGGGCAGGCACCTGGGCTTGAGCTGCTGCTGCTTCTTCCTAACCCTCACCCGAGGATATTTCCCCATGATTTTAGAGAGAGTGGAAGAGAGAGGGATAGATAGCAAGACACACCAGTGTGAGAGAAACATGCCTTGACCAGAGCCCGGGTGGGGAGGAGCTGCAACCAAGGAACGTACTTGCCTTGACTGGAATCGAACCTGGGACCCTTCGGTTCACAGGCCGACACTCTGTCCCCTGAGCCAGTCCGGCCAGGGCTGGGCTTGAGTTTCTGGTGGTCCCACCAGTCACCACCGCTGTGCCCATGAGCACGCTTCGTGACCCCCATGCTCACACCCTCCGTGGGGTCAGCGGCTGTGAGTGAGCAGATGGTGTGTGCTGAGCTCTGTCCCGGCCCCTCACCCTCAGGCCTCCCTCTGCCCGCCCCTCTCAGATACTGGTCTGGGCCCTGCCCGGCTTCCCCCTAGCACCCAAATGTAAGGGTTTCTCCCCTCTCAGGAGAAGGAGCCTCTGCTGAGGTTGCTGGGAGGCTAGTCTACCCACTGCTGAGCCCTTGGTTTTGCCGGCGGACGAAAGGCTCCCGGGCGCAGTTAGCAGAGAGAATCCACCCGAGCCCCGGACATTCACTGCCCAGGACGGCCAGAGGGGCAGGCAGGCCCACAGGGCACCTACTCTTGGCCTCGCCTGCATCTCCCTTCACCTCAGCTTCCTGATTCTCACTCCTCGGCTGCATCCCCATGGATGGCAGGGACCAGTGGCTGCTCCCCCATCACCCAGAGTCCCAGCTGGCAGCTTCCTGCGTGGTGTCCCACAGCGAGGGCCTGAGAGCCAGGGACGCGAGTGTTGGCATCTCTCTGGGGCACTTCCTCTTCTGTGGGGACGTAAGCGGGAATGACAGGAAGGAAGGTGAAGGTGTGTGGTTTCAGGAGGGTGTCCACAGGACACAGGGATCAAACGGCCCAGGTCCCACGGGGCAGTGCAGGGGCTGAGAGCATGGTGTCTGTAGCGAGCTGAGAGGCCTCGTCCTGAGCTGGTGACCGATGCATCCTGTGATGCCTGGGCACCTGCCGCCATGACGATCTCCAACCATCAAGCCGAGAAGATGAGACAGACTCACCGGTCTTAGTTATTCTCTCAATCAGTACACATCCAGAGCCTCTTCCTGACTGCGAGGTACACACTCCACAAGGGACTCAGGGAACCAGGTACGCTCTCCACATGGGACACAGGGAACTAGGTACACGCTCCATCCACACAGGACTCAAGGAACCAGGTACACGCTCCACATGGGACAGAGGGAACAAGGTACACGCTCTGCATGGGACTCAGGGAACCAGGTACATGCTCCTCATGGGACTCAGGGAACCAGGTACATGCTCCACATGGGACACAGGGAACAAGGTACACGCTCTGCATGGGATTCAGGGAACCAGGTACACGCTCCACATGGGACACAGGGAACGAGGTACACGCTCCTCATGGAACAAAGGGAATGAGGTACACGCTCCACATGGGACTCAGGGAATGAGGTACACGCTCCACATGGGACTCAGAGAACGAGGTACACGCTCCACATGGGACTCAGGGAACGGGGTACACGCTCCACTTGGGACTCAGGGAACTTGGTACACGCTCCGCATGGGACTCAGGGAACCAGATATACTCTCCACATGGGACTCAGGGAATGAAGTACATGCTCCGCATGGACTTGGGAGAGTACGTGAGCCAACCCTGTGAGTGTCTAGCAGGCAGCAACCTGAGTCTTTCCTGCCAGACCCCTGGCAGCAGAAGGATGCTCCTTTCTTCACTCACATCACCTTAATGCTGCCCCAGAAGCCAAAATAGTGGCAGCCCATCCCATTTCCATTAAACATAGCTCTTTGCCCTGCTGTCAAGTTTGGAAGAGGAGCTGATTCCATCACTGAGAAACGCCTGCTCTCGGGAGAAGCGAGCCCTGAGGGAGAGCGCCTTTGTGAGGCCACAGGGAGCCACCACGTTCCCCAAAGGAGACAGCTTCCTCTCTCCCTCCCCCGAGTCTCCTCAGCCCCTTGGTCTGGCACCCTGGGATTCGCTCCTTCCCTCCTTTCTCTCTCCTTTTTCCATCTGGGTCCCCTTATCTGGTGCGTGGAGTGAGAGTGAGAAGGGCTTGTGAATCCAGGAAGAGGCTTAAGCGGGGGAAGCCTCCTCTTGCCAGTGTTTGGGTAAAAAAACAGAATCCTCAAAGGATGTGTGTCACGGACCTGCAAGCCCCGTTTCACAATGGCTCACATGGCCACCCGGGCTCTGTGCCTGCTCTCCTGCTCTACCACGGAACGCCCCTCCCTGCCCGCCTGTGGGCCAGGGCCAAGCACATCAGCCGGCTATTCCAAACCCAACCAACTTTAGAAAGAAGGGCCAGGTCGCTGGCTGCGTGCCTTAGTTAAAGGCAGATTGCAATGACAAGCATCAGGAGAGTGTGGCACGGGCCTAAGGATAAAGATGCCAGAAGCAGAAACACACGTAGACGGTCTGCTCCTCTGACCATGGTGGCCACACGATTCAGCGGGAAAAGGCAACCTTTCAACCAAATGGTTCTGGGACAGCCAGAGGCCCCGGTACCAAACCAGGCCCTTTACACTCCCACTGCCTTAAAAAAAAAATCGATTTCAGAGAGGAAGGGAGAAGGAGAGAGAGAAACATTAAAGAGAGGGGATCATCAATGGACTGCCTCCTCCTTACCCCCAACTGGGGATCAAGCCTGCAACCCGGGCATGTTCTCTGACCGGGAATTGAACTGTGACCTGGTTCACAGGTGGACACTCAACCACAGAGCCACACCAGCAGAGCTGTCCTTCTACTGTTTGTAGAAATCATTCCCCTTGGTTTCTGGAGCAAGCCCATGTCACCTGCAGCAAAGAAGTAGCCACCAATATGTAGCCCTGTGGCTACTGGACGCCAGGGGAGGCCACGTGCCACACCAGCCAATGGCCATGTGGCCAGACTGCCTGGCCTGAGCTGGGCACGTCCCATCCCCTGAGCCGCAGGCTGAGGGGTCCCAGACACAGTCCATAATCCAACGGACCAGCTAGCCAGGCCCAGAGGGCTCAGGTGAGTGCATGGACAGGTGTCGCCTTCCTTCCTGCCATTGTCACCCTCACAGGTTCTCCTCTCTGGCTCGTGCCCACGTCTCGCTTGGGTGGGTCATCAGCTGCTGGGAGAGGTGGGCTCTGTCTCCTGCTTCCTCTACCCACCAACCAGCCTGCTGATGGGCTGTGGCTCCGTTACACGTGCCACACACAGGACACGTGTCTTTCTTGGTGACTGGCCAGTTTAAAACTATGAAATGTTCCTTTTTATCTCTAGTAGCTTCAGAGAGGTTTTTCAAAGAAAAAAAGCATTATCCATAGACCGTCTTTCAATATATTTAATAAAGTTAGAAATGATGTATACCTTGTTCATCAATAGAAACAATGACTCAGAAATAGAAAAACCAACTAACAGGCCTGGGTGCCTGGCCACAGGAGTGACTGAGTCAATGACGTTATGTCCACGTGACCTTCATTTCCAGAGGGTGTTTGCTGTCACGCGTGGCCGGGGACGTGATGCTGACAAATTTCAAGAACTTCCTCCTCATCCTCCACGGGATCCTTCCCATTCCTTCCTTCCTCCCTCCAGAACGAGGTATTTCTACATGTTCAGCTCCTCGCCATAGCCAGCACAGGATTTCTGCTTGGTTGCCCTAAAACTTGACCAGGAGGCCTCTAATCCCACCATCGGTGGAACAGCAACTCTTGAAGCACAATGTGGAGCTGTTAAGATGGGTAGCGAGGGGTTAAACAGTGCAGCAGCTTCTCAGGTGTAGACCCTGCAGACTGCTGAGGCAAACGGGAGCCTGGAAATGCTGAACCAAAGCCAGACCCAGCCATGGGGTGTGGATCTGAGGCATGTTCTCACTCACTCACTCACTCAACAAACGTTTGGGAGTTCCTTCTGTGTGTCAGACCTGCACCTCCTCTGTCCATTTCAAGGTCTAGACATACCCCTCGAGCCCTAGCCAGTCTGGCTCAGTAGGTAGAACATCAGCCTCTGGACCAAGGAGTCCCAGGTTCAATTCTGGTCAAGGGCACATACCTCGGTTGCAGGCTTCTCTGCTGCCTGGACCTTGGTCAGGGCTCTTACAGGAGGCAACCAACCAATGTATTTCTCAAACACAATGATGTTTCTCAACATCTTTTCCTCACCCTTCCACTCTCCTTAAAAATCAATGGACAGCCAAAACCAGTTT